AATTACAATATTTCAATATTATTTAAGTGAAGAAAAAGATTCATAGCATTGGCTACATTCATGTTGTACATCCCTATAAGTTAATATATAAGAGAACTGTCATTTTTAAAAAATAGTTATGCATACACTTTGACAAAGGCACACCAGATATGAATACATTTATCAATTTGTAGGTTATGCCTAAAGGCTACCAATTCAGAAATTGAAATTAAATCCTTCACCCATTGGGTTTATTACAGGTGGACTTTTATTTTCCAGTGGTGTAATATTAGTCTTAGCTGTCAAAGGGTGCAGAAAATCAATTTTTATTAACCTTGTGTTAGATTCCAAGCTGGTAGGAATCTAGGTAGGTAGTTCAAAACAACACATATATCCTTAAATATTAAAGAATGCTCAATTAAAGAAAGTCCTTTTAAAATACATTTAAATTAACCTCAATTAAAGAAAAAATAGTTAATTTAAAAAACCCTTTATCTTACAAGATGTATCTGAATTATTACCACCACTCAAAAGGAAGCTGCCATTGGGCGATCCCAAAATATATGGGGAAGAGAAAGTTTGGCAATATTATACCTCCAAAAACTGGAAATTTAATTAAACCCTGAGATATTGTGGCATCCATTGTTCTTAAAACATCATTTTTGCTGAATTAAGTGTAGCCTGAGAATCAGGATTTCTTGTGAAATAGATAAAAATGATGCGTTCTGTTGGCTGGGCTATATAGGGTACTCCAGTTCATTACTGTGTTCTTGCTTGACACCCTGTGTATCATATTTATTCACTGACATTAAACATTTATCAACATAAATTGTACGCCAATAGAATTTTTTGGTTTCAGTCAATTCAACACAGACTATTTTGAAGTTATAAAGCAGCAGGGGCAAACCAAGATTTTAAAAATTGCATGTATTGCCATGCAGCCGTAGATGACACTTGATATTTAGCCTGCAGAGCACAGAGTAGCAAAAAATTGTCAAGACTAAAAAGCTGATCCAAAATTTGAAAATCATCCTGCTCATCCAAGGCTGCCAAGCAAACATTTTCTTGCCAAATTATAAATTCAGATTTCCTCATAGAGGTAATTTGCAGGTGAATATATGTTAAGGTACAGTTTTAATGAAGGCATACCCCATAGCTGTCTAGCTCCCACAACTGAGGTGGCACGATATGGCAAGAGCCTAGTGCAATCCAACATAGGGGTTCAAAAACAGAGATTCCAAAACAGACCAAGGAAAAGAAGCACATATTCATGGATATAAAGGTTTTGTCTGATAACACACACCATGGGTTCCAAACATGTATATCAGTGGAGAAAGAGAACATTCCTGTCTCGTACCTCCCTCAAGAAGAAATTCAGATAATACTCCTTTGCTTCCAGCTCTGGTTTTAGAAGATTCATATAAAATTTTAGGCCATTTTTAGAATTCTGGAGGAAAACCAAAATTTCTCAATGTGGCAAAAATAAATTTTCATCATCATCATCATCATCATCATCAAAGTCTTCTCTGTATCTAGAGAGAGAAAGGCAGCTATGTCTGCTAAATGCATTAAATGCTTTGTTTGTTTTAGTCACTATAACAATACAGACCACTTATATTAAATGCATCATTATTTAATGCAGTCTGGTCAACAACCAAACTAAGATTTTAATAGAAATTACAGTTGGCTTAATGTTGTAATAACTCATTCTATTCTGCCAGCCAAAACTGCAGTTAGTATTTTATTATCAACATTAGTTGATGTAATAGGCTGATAATTAACACAAAGGATATGATCTCTATTTGATTTAGAAATTACAGTAATATACACATCATTGAGTGTTGATGAAATAGAACCTGAATCAGAAATAGTTGTACAACTATAAAAATGTAGGAACTAAAAAGCTTGAAAATGCTTTCATTTGGAAATCCATCTGGTCTAGGTACTTTCTCCTTTTTTCATTATTGCTTTGTTAATTCTAAAATTCTAAGTACAAGTTCCACCTGTTGAGAATTTTTTCCTCAGCTCATATTTAATATATTGCACCTCATGATAATTGTAGATTTGGAGAGATGGCAAACTGACTCATAAGAGTTTTCAACCTGTTGCCTAGGTCTATTTGTTGCTTCTTTTTCTTTTTATATTTTAAAGAGGAGCATCACAATAATGAAATCATGGATGAAAGCTTTGCTAGCCTCTCATTCATTTAATAGGGAAATGCCAAAGACCAGTGGACTTGTGAATATTTTTGAGCAGCAGTCCAAACAAACTGGAGCATGGTCTGATGTTTCAGTCTTATAGTCTCTGAATTGACATAACAGGGTGGAGACCAATAATTATCCAAGTGAAAACAATTATGATGTACAAACAATATAAATATGTAGTCTCTCTCATCTGGATGCAATACTTTTCATGGGTCAATCCGGCCAAATTCTGCCATATAGTCCTGAATTGCAAAATGCACCATTGTTTGCCTCTTAGGGGTGCATGTATTGCTGTTCAAGAAGGAATCTAAGATCTCATTAAAATCCCCATCCCTCCCCTGCACAAGCACATAGTCATACTCAACATCAAGCAATTTGCTGAAACAATGCCAGTACCCATTAATCAGGGCCATTGGCTTCTCACTGTGTTTCATAACCAGAACTGAAAATCAACTATTATGCTAAGTAATGGGTTGTTGAATTAAAAACAAAATTTGTTTATGGATTAAGATAGGCAACCCCTTAAACATTATTGAAGTATCTATTGCAAAACCTTATCCCACTCATTCTTATCCACTTATTCCTATCTGCTGCTATTAAGTGCATTTCCAAAAAAAAAAAAAGCCACATCAGTTCCACATTCATTTAAAAAGTACTTTCTTAATTGGGTTTTTTAGTCCTTTGGCGTTTGTGGAAGTTACTTTAAACATGGAATTATTAGGAATATAACGTTTGCCATTACATTTCTACAAAGATCTTGTCCTTTCTACAAAAAAATATCTACAAAAATGTAAGTTATTAATCTATTTCATAATGTCATCATTGTGTTGTACATTCTAATAATGAAAGTATCCTTCAGGGTAAAAATTGTGTGTAGCGAAAAAGTAAATGAAACCTGTCCAAAAGTGGAAAAAACCAAAATCAGGCAAAATAGAAGAAAATTAATGGGTGGGGGGAATAGGGAGGGAAGGAGAGTAAAAGAAGGAAGAGAGAGAAGGACAAAAATGCAGTCCAAACATAACAGGGAAAGAAAAATGGCAAATTTCTAGAATTTTATCAGCCCAAAGTATGTAAGCCATGGCTGAATGCTCAGCAATTTCCAGTCAACTTCTGCAAAATGGAACATGAAATTATACAGGATCTGTATCGGAAGCTGTAAGATATGAAGGCAGTTTCTGGTGAAGATAGGTGGATTTGGTGGGAATCCCACATCCTTTTTTAGGTTTAGCTTTCTTAGCTACCACTGTTAAATACTCCCTAGACTCCCAAACACTCCAGAAAATATTTCTCACAGGCTTCAAGCAATTATAAAACAGTATGTAGTACTACAGTCTAGTGAAAAATAAATACAAAACCATGATTCAGATATAGAAAACAGAGAGAAAACAGTCTGAATATTTTAACAATGGAAATTAATAGATAATAAGGAAAAATAGATGGCTTATGTTGCCATCCTAACCAGAAGTCCTCTGTGATCTTTCTGCTAGAAACAAGTGGAGCCTTTTAAGCAATTCCATCATTTCCCACAATATTCTATAGTTGAGTCGCAAGCACATCATGATCAAAGGTGGCAAAACCCACAGGTACATGGTTAAACTTGATGAAATTACCTATATTGAGCTCAATCAAAGGTTTTCCTTAAGGGCCATGAACAGTGTTACAGCTGCCCATTCAGGCTGACCTTTGAATTTCACAGTTCTTTACAATGTGAAAATGGACATCAGTATAACAGATGGACATATTGTATGGCAGATAGAGTATATGATGCTGCAAAGTCATATGTTAATATAGTCTGATTGCAGACAGGTGAGGGCTAGGTAAGTCAACACGTGTGGCCCATTGTGTTTAGGGCAGGTCTGCTACTCCACAGTGCTGATGCAACTCTATTTTTGTCTCCTCCTCAGCATTTCAAATTCATTTGCTAAGGGCTTTTATATTTATATGGGCAACTCTGAACACAACAAAGCTTTCAGCTTCCAGTCATAAGAACATAAGAAAAGCCATATGGAATCAGATCAAAGGATCTATCTTGTCCAGCACTCTGTATACACAGTGGCAAACCAGCTGCCCACAGGATCCCTCAAGCAGGGTGGGTGTAAGGTCTCCTCCTGCCCAAGCTCCTCAGTAACTGGTAGATGCAGGCATGCCTGCTAGAGGAGGTAGCACATAGCGAGTAAGGCTAGTGGCCACTGATAGCCTCCTCCCTCATGAAGCCGTCCAGTCCCTTTTTAAAATCATCCAGATTACCAATGATCACCACTTCCTGTGATAGCACATTCCATAGTCTAACTATATCCTGTTTGAAGAAATACTTCCTTTTGTCTATTCTAAACTTCCCACCAACCAACTTCATGGGATCACCCCAGGTTTGAGTGTTATGGAAGAGAGAGAAAAATGTCTCCCTCTCCACATTTTTTACCCCATGCTGTGAAGTACATTGTTTGTGGCTGTGGGCAACTTATATTTTCTTAGTCAGACCTACCTCATGTATTGTTGTATGATTAAAAATTCAGCTCTGGATCCCTTGGAGGAAGGACAGGAAAATACCTACTGAGAATTATAATTTGAAATGAAGAGTTTCCTTTGCCAGTGTGCACTGGTAGCTTTGAATGTATTGCCACATGTCAGCAATGATCGCTGATGAAGTTATGTTATAAATGTTACTAAATTTTATTTGTGGGGACTGTATTTTTCAAATTCCAGGCTGAACTAATCATTTAAATGCTAGGTACAGCCGTCAAATTGTCTGAATAGACTTATTTGTGTAACCTGCATGATTTATACCTTTAATAAATGCTCAATCTGTTTTAATTTTAGGTTGATGCAGTGGAAAGTGAGCCCAGGAGTTTTATCTTTATGAGTGAGGATGCAATGACAAATCCTGACAAACTGATGGTTTTAATTCATGGTAGTGGTGTTGTCAGAGCAGGGCAGTGGGCCAGAAGACTTATTATTAATGAAGATCTGAACAGTGGCACTCAGATTCCATACATTAAAAGAGCTATCGAGGTAAGCAAAATATTTGACTTTCTTGTTTATGTTGGTCCTAGTAATTAAGCATAATCATATGCTATTTAGTTTTCTTAATTTATATTAAACACGTATGCCTTTTTTTCTTCAAAACTTCTGTTAAGTACTCCTTTTGTTTCAGGAAACAGTTCTTCATGGTTTCAGAAGCTGACATGTGGTTTGTGAAGCAGATAAATCAGTGCTATTATCTGTTAGAAACTGATGTTTTCTGTTAAATTTCACCAGCTTGAAGGCTTTCCTTATCTCCATCCCAAGCACAAATTGCTCTACCTATTATTACAGAAAGTTGATCCAAGAATAAACTCCTACTTTTTCAAAAAGGATTGCTTTTAAGTATTTTCTATGAAGCCTAAAAGTGGATCTGTTAAAATCATTTGGATTAAACAAGATGCTTAACACAAAATATACACTCTGGTGTTTGCTGTCTCACAAAGTTCTTACATAGCTGTGGAAGAACAGTTCTGTAATTAAATTGGGAATCTCATTATTTTACTGTTTTCCAATATCTCTACTTGGGAGATTCCTGATAAATCTTGAGAAAAATCATTTGATATTTTAAAATAGTTTGTGCCTAGGCCATATTATTATAGAATAAACTTTGTTAATATGACTAAAATGACAAAAAGTTTAGAAAAACAAATGTTGGCAAACTTTCTTTTAAAATTAAAGAATATTGTATGTTGAACCTAAACAATGAATGAACTTTGGAGGAAGGATGTACTATTTCTGACAATTTCAGTTTTTAACCTAAACAATGAATGAACTTTGAAGGAAGGATGTACTATTTCTGACAATTTCAGTTTTTTAAAAATGAAAATTTAAAAAGTTCATTTTTATTTCTGAAAAAAACCTCTAGCTCTTTCACCATTAATACACACAAAGCAGATAGTTATTTATTAATGTTATACAGATAGAAATGGAATCTCTGTGGCATACTGAAATGTAAACGTTTCGAAAAACTATCAGATTTTTGTTGTAAGTCTACTGCCCTTTTTAAAAAAAATGTGAAATACCTATAGTGGATATACGCAGTTTGGGGGTGCTTCTGGACCCTGATTAATCCTGGAATTCCAGGTGGATTCGGTGGCCAGCAGCGCCTTCTATCAGCTTAAGATGATATACGAGTTGTGACCATATCTGGACAGAAAAGACCTAGCAAGAGTTATCCATGTACTGGTAACCTCTCATCTGGACTATTGCAGCATGCCTTATGTGGGGTTACTCTTGAAGATGGTCGAGAAACTTCAATTGGTCCAGAATAGGGCAGCCTGATTGTTAATATGATTGTATCTGGCTTTATATGATTGTACCTTCCAGATACAATCATATAAAGCCAGTCCTCTACCATCTCCACTGGCTCCCAGTTGAAATCCAGGCCCAATTCAAGGTGTTAATACTAGTATTTAAAACCCTTAACAGCTTGGGGCCAGGGTATCTAAAGGAGCATCTCTTCCCATATGCACCTGGGCACCTTAGAGCTGCATCTGAGGCCCTTCGAAGGAACTCCCTCCTCAGGAAATAAGGAGGATGGTAACACAAAAAAGGGACTTTCCTGCAGTGACACCCCAATTTTGGAACAAGCTCCCCAGAGAGGTTCTCCAGGTGCCTTCCTTATTGTTTTTTAGGTGCCAGACGAAAGCCTTTTTATTTCAACGGTGTTTTAATTGTTAACTTGTTCTCAGTAGCAATTTAACTGCAGGTATGTTATTAGTGTGGCCCATCTTATATTGTTCTTAATGTTTTATTGGTAATTGTTGTTTTGTATTTTTATCTTTATGTTATGTTAAGTTATTTTATTATTATTTTGTCCATTGTTTGCATATTTTAAAACCAAATATAAACGACTGAATGTGTAGGGAAATGCATTCTAGAGCTACTTCACTGCTTTCTTTTTTCATCTGCTGAGCACTCAAGTGTCTAGTGCAGTGGCACCCAGAGGCAGAAAGTAACAGGTGTGACTCTGCTTTTCCAGTTCAGTGCAAATCTAGTTGATATAATGGTTTCTGATTCTGGATTGCTGACTGAATGCAACCCATGATTTGTCATTGTAAGCACAGCTTAACTATGGTTTAGTGTATACTTAACCAAAGTTTGATGTCTGCATTGAACTAATGTCTGGGTTTTAGTCAGACCGTCTACAGTGGTATAGTGGTTAATTTTGAAGTAAAGGCACTCATTATGACAGTCTCCATAGTCATAGTGCCAAGGGGAGTGAAAATTGCAGACAACTTTGTTTATATCAACAAGCCTCTTCTAGGATTTTTCATGTACTAGTGGGGGTAGGCAAATGTGGCCCTCCAGATGTTGTAGGACTGCAACTTCCGTTAGCCCTTGACAGCATAGCTACTGGCGTGGGATGATATAAGTTATTTATTTATTTATATTTCGATTTATATCCTGCCTTTTTCCTACAAAGGGCTCAAGGCAGCTTACATCTTCTCTCCTCCTCCATCTTATCCCCCCAACAACAACCCTGTGAGGTAGGTTGGGCTGAGAGGCTGTGACTGGCCCAAAGTCACCCAGTTGGCTCCATGGCCGAGCGGGGACTCGAACCTGGATCGCCTGAGCCCCAGTCCCGCGCTCTTAACCACTACGCCACACTGGCTCTCACTATGGTTATGGTCCAACAACATCTGGAAAGCCTGAAGTTACCTAGTGCTGTGCTACTAGAATGCCTTTTGTAAAGCTAATGGGTTTTATTCATTTGTTCATTCAAGTCCAGACACCCTAAAATGTCTTCTAGTACAACAGGGAACCAAATACTGTGAATGCTGTAGTGAAAACTCCGAGGGAATATGGAATTGAAAAAAGAATGGCAGATGATACCAATGTCCATGCTATTAAAAATGCCAGTGCTGTATCCTTCACAAACTTGCCTTCATTACACCAGTGGTAGTCAAAGACCTGTTACTGTTACAGGAAATTAAGAATAAAGAAATTGGAAAGTAGTTTCAACACTCTTTTCCCTTCTCCTCCAACCTGGGCTTGATGTTTTCCTGCCACAGACATCATCATATTCAATAATAGGTTATTGGATCTGTAGGCCGAGTTTAGATGCACAAATAATAGCTTTAATGTTACACTTTGTAAGAATACACAGGGAAAGCTTTAATAGAAAGAGCATATCTGCAAAGTCCTGATTGACTACCACTCCATAAAAAGAATGGAGGAGCTGTAATGGGTGTAGGGAGCAACTTACAGAATGGAACTTCTCCTTCTGTAACTGTTAGACCAAGAAGATGATTGCAGTATGTCAACCATACTTAAACATCATTTTTAAATTAAAAATTTGCTTTTATTGTGCTGCATGACAGAAAAACCACATCCACTACGCAGGGGTGTTTTTGTGTAGTGCTTCTTGCTAGATTGAAACTGTACAGAGCACTAAGAGACAGGTGGTTGGCACCGTAACGTTCTGATGTATGCAACAGAGAGAGAGCGTAGATTGCATGCATCTTTTCTCTTTCTGGTTGTGCTTAGTACTGCAGCAGCATAGACGTGAATGACTGCTGTGCATGAATATATCGGGATGGGGGATTCAGTCTTTTGAGCACTGTGCGTCATGTGTGCTTTAACTTTTAAAGTAAGTTGGGCTTCATATATGATAAGTTAATTTCAAAGTTTGAAATAACTGTATGAATTAAACTCTGTTCACATGATCAGAGTGAGTATACAGAATGTGTAAGGGAATGGGGTTGTAGTAACTAGACCTTCCCCTTCCTCTTCCTCTTCCTCTTCCTCTTCCCTTTCCCTTTCCCTTTCCCTTTCTTAACATTCATTGGATCTTCTGCATGGAGCTTATATGTGTAACACAGAAAATCACGGACTGTGTAGAAATTGGCAAAGGGGTTTGTCACTGGTTTTGCTCTTCCCTATGACATAGTCATTGTTTACTTGAACAAGAATCTTGCTTGATGAGTGTACAGTCATATAATACAATTCACAAGAAACAATACTGCATGTTCTCAAATTCTTAAAACATCTTTGGTTTTGAGCTAGTGATCCTAATCATTTTGTAAATGTATATAATAAGACTCCTACCATGCTTCTTTATCCTAAACATATGTACAAATTCTAAATTGCTATCAAACGTTCAGAAACATTATTTCAATTTTTTTAAATGTGCATTGCAGTAAATTACATTATCAAAATTTTGTGGTGCCTGCTATATTGAGATCAAATGTACTAATATCCAGGTGAATATTCTACAGAAGTTTTATAGCATTGGTTATAAGTAGGCAATTAGTAATAAATCAACTACTTATAATCAGTAAACCTTTGTAAATGATTGCTCAATGAAATGAGAGGGAAGGCTTACTGCTTGGAGTAATATTCTATTGACAGACCACATAAGCCCACACTAGCCCCCATGCCAGCAAAGGAAAACAATGAGATGACAGCTCTAGTGTTTGGAGAGAGGTTGTTAATGACAGCTTATTCCTTTATGATTTCAACTCTTGACAGAAGACAGGTCTGCTTGTTGCATCACGGCAGATGTATCATTACCTTCTGGCCCTGCCATGACTGAATTGGAATAAACCCACTTGCAGTTCTGAAAATTCAATTACTTTGTGAAAGTTTGGGCACTGTTTCTATGATTCATGTGCAGATGTGTTTAAGCCTCATCCTAGTAGCTGTTTGTTTTTGAATTCTAATAGTGCTCTAAAGTTCCAAACTTGAAGATTACAGAATTAATTAAACATATGACAGTCTTTTCTTCATGTCCTAGTGAATCACTGTTGGAACAGAATATACCCCTTTGTATTATTTTGTAACATCTTTAATATGGACTTAGCAAAGTTACTATTAAGTCTTCCTGAATATATGTGTTCTTTTAAAGGTGTATTTTTCTTACGGTATAAACCTTTACTATTTAAACACTATAAAAAGGTACCTAGACAGTATTTACAATATTTCATGCTTCATGTCTCTGTATTTCATTTTAAGGATGAGGTAGTCATTTCTGTTAGTTGATATGG